CCTAGATAGGACTCGAGTATTAAATCTCATCTACTCAGGGCTCAGAACAGGGGTTGGAATGATTGTAAGAGCCAAGTGCAGTGGATGACCACAAGAAAACAATTTTCCAGGCTTCTGAGAACTTGCTGATACAAACTTGCAGCAATGCTGACAGAATGCTCAAGACCCGTGCAAACTCAAACCGGACCAGAAACCAACACAGAACTGGGGAAATGGGCAAGAAGCTTCAACTTCAGCCAAGAAAGTATTGACAGCTGATCAACACTGAGTGAGAGCGATTTGTTCTTCTTTAAGGGAGTGATGTTAGATAGACTGGCCAGGCTCCAGTGGATAAACTCACACAGACGGACATTGCGGGCATGAACTTGATTCAATAGGCCTTAACATATATGACAGAATGCATGAAATCTGGTGGGGGTGTTATGGTGTATACAAATAGAGGAAGGGGTCTAAATATGATTAAGATATATGAAATGCACACAAATTCAATAGACTATGTACTAAAAAAATCAGAGCAGAAATCAATGAAATAGAAACAAAGAAAACAATACAGAGAATCAATGACTCTAAAAGCTTTTCTTTGAAATGATAGACAAGATAGATGACCTTTAGCAATGCTAGCTGAAAGAAAGAGAAAATTCAATTTAAGATAATCATAGACAAAAAAGGAAATATTACAACAGACATCAAAGAAACCCAGAACGTTACAGGGGAATGCTTTTAAAACTATACTCTATTAAATTAGAAAATACAAAAGAAATACATAAATTTCTAGATTCATTGTAACCACCAAAGTTAAACCAAAAAGAGATCAACAATTTAAACAGACCCAGATAAAGTAAGGAAGTTGAGATAGTAATACAAAACCTCTCAGCTCGAAGAAGCCCAGATCTAAACTTATTTACAACTGAATATCACACCTCACCTTCAAATAAGATCTACATCCAATAAGGCTAAAATTATTCAAAACGATAGAAGCAGAGGGAGAACCCCCAAATGCATTCCATGAGGCCAGTTTTGGTTCTCTACCAAACAACAACACCACCACAATTACAGGCCGATTTTCCTAATGAACATAGATGATAAAAATGTTCAATAAAATAATTGCAAATTGCATACAGACACTGATCAAAACGATCACGCAATACGACCAAGGAAGCTTACACCAGAGATGCAGGGATGGTTCAGTATACACAAGTCACTAAGGGTAATAAATCACTGATTCAATTCCAACAAAATCTTATTCTAAGCACTGATTTGCATTTAAATTCCTTCCTAATGAGATCCACCTAATTGACAAGCTTGTTTTGAGGAGAACTTCATGGAGTCAGAGGCTATTAAAACACACACACACAGAGCTATGTGGAAGAAAAGAAAATGAAAAAAAAAAAAAGCTTATTTACTGATGAACTAGACATGTTGGTAAGAGAAAAAACAAGTTGCAAAATATATGTATTGTAAGATATAATTTGCATAAAATTTTAAATTCCACAAGACTGTTCCTATTTGTAAATATATTTGCACATAAATAAACAGCAAAAGTGTGCTGAGTATATACTAAGGAGCATCCCAAGCATTACTTGGGAGGGACATCAAGGGGGCTTTTTGACATTAGCTCTATTTTCAATCTTTTTCTTAAAATATGCTATTTACATAATTAAGTATAAGGAATGGAATTACTTTTTTTTAAGACAGGGCTTCCCTGTAGCTCCAGCTGGCCTGGAAATTGCTTTGTAGACCAGGCTGGCCTCTGCCAGTGCTGAGATTAAAGGCATGCACCACCACACCCAACCTTAAGTACAAAGAATTCTTAGATTTGTAGTATGTACAACTTATGATAGTTTCCTTAAAGAGGAAAATGGTTTTATCAAGTCTTAGTCTCCTTTTTTCAACTTTACACTTTTGTCCTTGTCTTTGTCTCATTGTACCTCTGTTCAAATGCACTTAGCTTTTTAAGTAGGTAATAATGAGGAGATGACACAGCTGTCAGAAGCATCAAAATCAAGGGAACTGGTAAGTTGAAACAAAGCCATTTAGATGCAGATCCGATCTCCTGATGTGCAGCATTTGGGGGAGGGAAGCTTGAGATAGGAGCTCATATAACCTAAGTGGGTCTTGAACTCTTGAACTTCCTTTGCCTCTGCCTCCCCAGTGCTAGAATTACAAACTTGTGGCATCACTCCAGCCATAGCTTGTAGCTTTTGATGCATTTGGAAATATATGTGAGGCTTCTAAAGAGGACAAGATGCTTTAAAGAATAATAGCTTTGGGCAGGCTCGATGCCTCAGTAGGTAAAGGCATTTGCCACTAAGCACAACCACTTGACTTTGATCATGAGAACCCACACGGGCAAAGGAGAACAGACTCCTCCAGGTTGTCCTCTGATCCCCACATGCATGTTGCGACACACAGACCCTCCACACTTATACAAATACAAAATAAATGCAAATGAGAGAAAAGAGAGAGAAAGAGAGGAGGGGGGAGAATAATAGTGTTCCCAGGTATGAGGCATAGTACTAACTTGCCATGTTTACAGAAAAGAACTTGCTGCAGTAGAAAGATGAACACCCATCACAGCTTTTCAGAGATGACACATCCTGGGTAGGATAAGCAGGGCTGGGAGATTTAGTTTAGTTGCTGAAGTATTTGTCTAGCATGTGCAATGCTCCAGGTTTGATCCCCAGCAGCACATAAACCAGGTGGCACATAGCAGTCAAGTAGTGGAGGCAGGAGAATCAGGAGTTCAAGGTCTTCTTTGACTGCACAGCAATTAGAGGCCAGGTTTTGTTTTCGTTTTTGTTTTTGTTTTTGTTTTTTTGTCTTCCTAGTATTATAACAAATACAACCAGGAAAAAATATTCAAAACTGTAATTAATTGGTGCTTTTGAAAAGAGAAAGGCCATCAAAGCCACAACATTTACGTAGCATGAATTGTGGTCTGTAACACTAAGCACATTACTTTGTTACAGGTGGGGGCAAAGAACAGCAACGTGGTAGCCTATGATGAAATCAAGTACACGTCGCTCAATGAATCTCAGATTTAATTATGAAACTCTGGGTAATTACATTTTATAACTGTGGAAAGGAGCTGCCCAATTTGTGTCTTTCTAGGTGGCTGTGGGTCTCCCGCTCTCACTATCACCTACACTCTTTTCTGGAAGGTCTCAGTACTGGAAATGGTCACAAAGAAGTCAAAAGATAAATTTTGAAAGTTTAAGGCACAAATATAATTAACTGTAAGAGAAAATTTAAATGGATTTTCAAGGGTAAACTATATTATCTGGAAATAATATAGAAGATCCATGATAGCAACTTCTGGTAACATAATACAAAAAAGTAAACTGTGTACTGAAATAAGCATTACAATCTGCTTTTTTTAAAAAAATATTTTATTATTTTTATTTTATGTGTATAAATGTATTGCCTGCATGTATATGAATGCACCCATGTGATACAATGCCATGGAGGTCAGAAGAAGGCTTCAGATTCCCCTGGAACTGGAGTTAAGGACAGTTCATAGCTGCCATGTGGGTGCTTGGAATCAAACCTGGGTCCTCTGCAAGAGCAGTCAGTGCTCTTAACCACTGAGCCATTTCTCCAGCCCCACAATGTGCTTTTTAAAAAAATGTTCTAATTTTTTGGCACACAATGCATATCTTGCCTCATTAGATGCTGTTTGATTAAAAAAAAAATCAATGCATTTGTCAATGTGATTTTGAACCCCGGCAGACTGTAGAGTTTTGATTTCTATCTCCTTTCTCTATTTCCCCAACATTATCTTTTATCACTGAAAACCTAAAAATGAATCTTTGGTATTCTCTAATATCAAAGGAAAATAAGTAATAATAAGGTTAATGTTTTTAAAAAAGATTTCAATACCATAACAGTGATAACTTTAAGGTGTTCTTGAGATACCCCAAACAAAACATTTATATTTCATATAATAACATGATACTTTTTACTTTTGAGATTACTATTTACTCCCAAGTTGTTGCAGAATACATTTTTGAAAACAATAATCTTCCTCTGTAATTACAAAGCAAACCAAGAAGCAAAATACACATCTCAGATACAAATGTTCAGTTCTGTTATTGTTTTATTGGTTTGGAGTTTTTTGGGGGAGGAGGTTGGTTTTTGTAAAAAAAAAAAATATTTTATTGAATTTCTCTGTATTTCGTACAGAAAATCATCTTTATACCTCCTTCCCCTTTGACACCCTTCCATAGCCCCTCCCACTGGAGTTCATGCCTTCTGTCATTTGTGTTAAGGCCTATCATGTAAAGTTAGTGTCCCCAGAAGTCCCTCAGTGCAAGTTCATCCACTGGGATCTAGTCAGCCTATCTAGAGTCCCTCCCTTTAAGAGGATCAAACCTTCCTTTGAGTTGTTGCCTATTATGAAGTTCCACAACAGGTCAAATGCAGAAAATAAGTGTCTGTGACACATCTACAATGCAACATCTACACCTAAGGCTAGAGGAATATTGCAGAAGATGGAGTGCAAAGAATGTCAGAGCCAGAGAGACAGATACCTGGTGCTATTTAACATTTTAGACATGATAGAGAAAATACGCCAGTGAAATGTCCACAGTATGGCAGTCTAGCAAGAGCTGCATTTGATAACGAAACCAGTTGACATACCAAGTTGCATAGGAAAAAGTTCAAGGGGTCTTGATCAAGATGATGAGCTACTGGCAAACAATATATGCTGAGGGAGGGAGAATCAGTTTTCTCTGGGAACTTTAAAGTTATCTAATCCAAAATGGACAGCCCTATATACACATATGTATGTATATGTGTATATGTGTGTATATGTATATGTGTTTGTGTATATTTTAAAACACTGGTAAAATAGAGTCAAGGTTAGATAGTTTTTATATTTGTACCAGAATATCTCATACAAAGGAGGACTCTAATATCTTAATATGCTTATTTTTTATTTCATTTTCCAAAAATTAAAAATAATCCTTCCAAGTAATGAGGATTTAAAGAAATTATCTTACCCAGTGAGTTTGACTGCATGTGTCCGGAGCTTTTGATACTTTCCTGACTCTTCATTTGTGCTGATAACATGTCTGTATATCCCTGTCTTATAATAGAAGAAATCTTCATGGACTTGCATTATAGCTGAAATAAAACCCAATAGAAGAAATAACACAATTGTTAAAATCTTCTCCAAAGGTCTCCAGAAGTTTTTCCATAATAATCAATGATTAAGTTGTTGCAGAGTGCAGAATCTGAAGAATGATCATACTTAATTTTCTTCTAATTGATTGCACTTTTTATTCCATTTAAAAAATAATTTCAACTATTTAGATTATTACTAAAGTACTCGTTATAAATTCAGAATGTCTTTCAAACCTTTCCTGCTGAGTTTGAATTAAAAGCAAATCATGGACAAAGGAATATTCTGACAGGATTTCATTTATAGAAACTGGAGCTTAGGGGGCTGGAGAGATGCTCAGCGCTTAGGAACACTGCTGTTCTTGCAGAAGAACCGGGTTTGAATCCCAGCACCCACATGGCAGCTAACAACTGTCAGTAACTGCAGTTCCAGGAGTTACTGACAGCCTCCTCTGTCCTCTATGGGTATTGTACGACACAGGTGCACTTACAAACATGCAGGCAATACACTCATATGCACGAAATAAAAATAATAAATAAAATAAAATAATAAGATTTAAAAACCAGAGCTTATGCATCATTAGCCTCCTTCAGCCCATCACCTGGGTTGCTTCTTTTCTATTTCATTTTGGTGTTTTGGGCTTTGGGGCTTATGCAATTCAAGTTGAAGACTTTAAACATCTCTCTCAGGAGGTATGAATTGACAATTTTTTAATTGGGATTAAATATGTATATCGTGGTACCTGACAATAAAGCTTATTTATCTTAGTTTGACATCTGTTCTAAATAAAGTCAGAACGAAGGTCACCGGCGTTCAATAAATGCTGCAATGATGCTTTTGTTCCAAAGGGAAAGGTGGCTTTTTCATGGTCTATTTTTTACTTCATTCTGTAGTATGGACAGGCTTTCTGCTGCTGGAAGTGTCCCAGGAAGGTGAATCTTCTTTGTCTCCTTGAAAGCACATTCCCACAGGGTTTAATGAATTTACATGACTGTACCCTGTGCAGACCTCTGTTTTTGTTCCCTTTCCATCAACTATGCTTATTTTCAATTCTGAAGGTCTAGGCAAACACGCACGGTGTTATTTACTCAGGGTGCCATCCATTTGAAGTTCTTTTATACAGAAACAGATTGAAATGCTGCAGGTTAGATCAGGCTATAGCAAGCAGGCAATCAAACTACATCTACAGCAAAACCCAACTGGGATTCCATCCATTCATAAAAGTTTGAAGATATTTTTGGTGGTTTTCCTCTCTATACAACCATTGACTCTTTTAACTATTACATTCATCTCTGCTTTAAGCATCAGGAATAAAATATATTCTGCATTGCTGTAAACACTGCCAACAAATGCAAGTGGTGGGAAACTATCATAAGTAACTCAAAGTTGAACTCTTCAGTCAGTCCATGATGCCAAACCAATATTGATGAACCTACAAGCTTATGACTGTGTAAAGCTACTGCAGTGTAGTTTTACTCCTGGAACACTGCGTACAGTAAGTGCTTTACACAGGATTGTAATTATGTGTGAAGACAAGCAGAAGAAACCCCAATTTTTGCTTTGTCTTGACTCTGGGTTAGACTGGCAGAAAACCAGTTTTGTTTCTCAACAAACTGTTCCTAACTGAGAGTTGACTAATTTGACTTTTAATCTTATTGCCTTAAAATTTTTCCATTTTTAATTAATTATGTGAAATTCACAAAAATACTATATGCCCCAAAAGTAAAGTTCAGGTTTCTATATTAAATAATCATTACACAAATGTATTTTTTTATTGATGCAAGAGAGCAAGTGTCACAACCATTGGGGAATTTGGAATGATTTAGGCAAATTACCAAAACAATGTAAGTAGCAAATGTCAAAGCTAGAATTTTGAGTTTGATTTTGAGTCAAAATATCTTCTTTCTTTTATATGTAAGGTTCCAGAAATTTTAAATTTAAATTTAAGACATTTTTAGTGTAAACTTTGATTTCTCCATAGATAATTCCAACGCAATTCTAAAATTCCATGGTTCCTACTGTATACTGAACCAATACTAAGTAGATCAGCATTTAGAAAGGAGGAAAAGACGTGCTATTCGATGGTCCCTCAGATCTACGCATCAAATACTTTCATTTACTTTGTGCTTGTCTTATGTTCTATTGCATTGATAATAGACTTGGGGCCTTTTGCATTCACAACTTGAATTCTTGTTTTATGCCTCATTGAATTTGTTTGCCATGCACTTTAAAGCAAATGTTATACAGAAAATATAGTCTGTAAATCTGTTTTTAATCAATGTCATTGGTACAAACAAAATTAAATGAATAAACAAAAGCAGTCAGATCTACCTCAAAATCAAAATCTCTATATAGTATATCACAGTATAATTTTATTACTTAATATTATTTTACTACCAGTAACAAACTTACAGCATTTGTTTGATTTTAGAGTGCTTTTGTAAAACACGAAAATGATCCTAGTTTTTTATTTCCCTTGCCCTAATATAAAAAGAAATTCTGTACTTTGCTATGTACTTTCATTCTATTAAGTCTCACTTTTTGTCAATGCCTTATATAAACTTACATTGAAAGTATTTAATTACCTAGCCTTGTGTATATGATTGCTGCATATGAACAAGTTGATACATTGAGCGCCATAGCAAATTAGCCATTGTAAGTCATGAGTGACTGTTTTTCCACAATCACTCTCACTTTCAGACAGCAGACATACCTCAAACATGTTATTAGCATTTAAAAGTTTGATTTTTAAATGAGTCTATCTTAAGTAAAATGGCAACTCATGGTAATGATTGGACAAACCAATCTTCTGTAACTTTGCAGCCTATGGAAGTGTTAAGTCCTTATGAAGATACCTAAGATTCTCCTCTATCAACCTCCCTCTGTGTCATATCATGTAATGTTGTTTACTAGAGGAATGAAAAACTCAAAAACATATTCTATCTGAGCTTACCTTGAACTGGTCCATTTTGCATGATTTCTCTCATAATTTCAGTTTCCTGAATGAAAACAGTACCAGTGAGTATCCATAAGAAACACTAATGCTAAGCGCTGGTGTTCAGCATTAGCTTTGCACAGCGCAAGTTCTTCACATCACACTTTAACGTGCTCACAGGTGCCATACCGCACTGATAATCCTGCTAAAACGAAGGTATGCTCATTTGTTTTGTTAATTTTTGTCACTAATATTTTTTTTTGCGTGGAGAAGAAAGGTCATAACTTTTTATTGTGATAAAAATAAAGGCAAATTAAAACATTTAGTCAGTGGAGATTAGTGTTACCACCAATCTTTTAACCACAAACCTACATCAAACAAACATTTAGGGACCTTTATTACAAACACCATCATGTTCTCACTCAGTGTTCCCTAAATAGGTGATCAATTCATTCATTCATTCATTCATTCATTCTTCTGTGCACATTTAGCACTAAGTCTTAGAAGCTGATAGAAACAAATCTGGACCTTCACCCAATCCCAAAACATTGATATCTTGGTGGTTTAGACAAAGAAACAATGCCATGGAAGTATATGTTCTATTATAGGGTCAAGCATAAGGGATTGTTGATAAAAATTTTAAAAAGGGAAATTAATACCACTTAGAAAGCAGGAAAAACATCAGAGAAAATACAAATTCTTGTGGGTCTGGACCCTTGATGGACTCCCCAGATGGAGTGAAGCTAACCATTCTAGTCAAAGGAATTATCACCTATGTTAGGAAAGAAGCATGAAACAGGCTGGAGAGATGGCTCAGCAGTTAAGAGCACTGGCTGCCCTTTTAGAGGACCTGGGTTTAATTCCCAGCACCCACATAGTGGCTAACAACCATCCATATCATCAGTTCCAGGGATCTGATTCCCTCTTGTGACCTCTGCAGGCATTACATGACACCGGTGCACTTACAAGCAGTACATTCATACACGTAAAGCAAAAATAGTAAATAAAATATTTTAAGAAGCATGAGACAGCATGACATTTCTAGACAACGGAGACTACCTTATATATCAGGATCATTATGGACAGACAGAGGGTTAAAAGCTGGCAAAGCACTAATTTGTCTAAGTAGCAGGTCAGTCAACTCATAAAAAGAGAGTACACCAAGATAAAACAGGTGGGTTGCATTCTAGAGAAAACTGTAGTAACCAAAGTTTCTGGTACTTTTAAAATGAAGCCTGATAATGCTGATGTGATTGGTTAAAATCTGCTTAGGCAATAAGCTTGACAAAGTGAAGTCTACGGGGAGCTTTCCCTCATGTCTAAGTTCGCTTAAATTATATTTTGGACCAAGGAAAAGGATCAGTGAAATAAACTATTGCCACAAAAATGTAGTGTCTTAGCTGTGAACTGTCAATTTCATACGCGCGCACACACACACACACACACACACACACACACGAATAACTGTAATAAAAATTTTAAATTATATCTGAAAATATAACATTTTAGCCTACGATAGTTTTAAATATTCAAAAATATAATATTAGTGAAAGAAGAAATATGTTTGTCTGGGAATGTCATCAATATTAGTGTTGCTGTTTAAACTTACATTGGAAGACACTCTGTATGGAGGAGAACATTGGTAGATCCTATTGGATTTCTCGATGCTATTGGGACAGGGCTTTGTAGCATGCCGTTTTCCCCGCCCATCGGATCTACTTGCCATAGCACAGATATTATTGGTGATATTTTGCTCCTTGAAGAGTGGGTAGCATGCATGAGACACCAGTCTAAGATAATAAGAAAAATATAATATACTTTTTAGAAAAATGCCATACTAGCCTACCTATATTCAAGTTTATGCAACTAAATATTGTCAACTTTGCTGGTTACCTACACGCGTAACTACTTATTTTACTTTATTTATATATACATATATGTATATTGTGTGTGTGTGTGTGTGTGTGTGTGTGTGTATTGCTTGCATTCACTTACGTGAACCCATATGGTGCAATGCTCACATCGGATCCCCTGGCACAATTACTACCATTGTCAGCCACCAAGTGGGTGCTGGGATTTGAATCCAAGTCCTCTGCATTGGCTCTTAACCGCTGAGCCAACTCTCCAGTCCCTACATGCATACCTATAAACTGTCAGCTATATGCTACAAGACACAGCAGCTCAATCATATTAGACTCTTCCCTCTTCCTGTTACCTGTCATTTAATTTTTAGTTTTTACTTCAATCCAATTTTTACAAATAATTCTATCTTTGGCCTATGATTTCCTGAAGATGAAAAGAATCTAACAATAAAAGATATATCAAATATGAAAACAATAAGTTTGATGAGATAGTCTGAAAATTTTTCTAAGTTTTAGGATCGAGATTTTTTCTTTTGTTGACGGTTTCATTAAACTATACTTTTTCTTAACACTTTATTGAATATATGTCTATAGTATTTGATACTTTGGGAGAAATAGTTCAATATTCATATAATATTGGAATTAATAGGGTAGAAAGTTATACAATGTATATATTATACAAAATTAAAACCATTTTGATCTTTGTTTTGAAACTGAATACAAATTATTTGACTCCAAGTCTAACATTACCTCAGTGAATAGAGAAGTGAATGTATGGGAAGCAAAACCACATAATGAGTTGTGTAAATACTCAGCAATGAAATGACCACTAAAACTAGTTCAAGAAAAATGCAATGGCATCTGTTGGAATACGGCAAGAAGGATGAGGATATAATGAAAATCTTTCAAAACTTGAGAGAGACTTGCATTAAATGTGCTATATTTATATAAAACATTGAAGGGCACGAACTGGATTGTGTCCATCTGCACTTCAGATGCTGGAGCCTTAAAGCCCAGGTAACAGGATCTGAAGTTTGGCCTTTAGGAGATACTCAGGTTTAAGTGAGGTCCTGAGAGGGGGTATCCTTATCACCAGAATTATTCGTTTCATAAGAAAAGGAAGCCATTTCACCTCCTTAGGAGGATACTGTGCAGATGCTGCAAACCAGGGAAACTCCCTTTCTAGGAACTGAATCTGTCAGCATGATGATTTTCACTTTTCAGCCTCTGGCACATAATATCTATTATTTATATGTTTTGTTGTGGTAGCTCTAGCAGATAAACACAATGAGATTTAATTGGGTTGTGATGATAATGTAAATATATTTATTATACACATATCAAATTCTTACATGTGCATGTGTATGTATGATATACGTGTAAGCACTTGTGTGTGAGAGTATGTGTACCCATAAATGCACACATGAAGACCAGAGATCAAAGATGGTGTCTTTGTCTATCCCCCTCCACTTTAGTTTTTGAGACAGTCTCTCACTGAACCTACAATTCAACAATTGACTAGACTGACCCCCTGCCTCTGCTACTGGGTGCTAAGGCTTCTGCTGCCAATGCCCTGCTTTTAATGCAGGTGTGTGGGCCTGAACTTGGGCCCTTATGCTTGCTCAGCAAGCATTTGACCCATTGAGCCATCTCCCCAACCTAATACTTTTTCATAAAAACTGTTTTCTTTTAATCATGACACCAAATAAAAGCCAACAAAACACTAGATGATCCCAACCCACGTTGGGCAGCTTCATTTCAAAATAGTACTTTATTAGGTAAAACAGTGAAGAAATTAATATATTGGCAAATATCAATACCTGATATACCTTCTTAATCTGGGCTGGGCATAGTCAGGTGCTATGAAAGAGAAGGCATATTTGATTTGTATGGTGAAAGAAGAAACAGAACTGTCTTTATGCCTCTGTTTGGCAGGTGGAGCCTCCTCAGTTCAGCAGTTTTGGTCTTACAGACACAAGACACTGTGTAGCTCTCCGACAGTATGGGAGGAAGGAAATCCAATCTGCCATTTTCCATCAAATGGGATGGAAACAGTCACAGTGATGAGTTCAAGGCAACTGTAAATTACTTCTTTTATTTTATTTTCTTTTATTTAATCTGATTTTTCCTGGAGTTATCTATTCATTAACCTGGGTAACCAAGTGGCATAACAGCTTTGTCAGCAACATTGATTACTTTGCCATGGTCGCCCAGTAAAACTATTTGGCTCAGGGCAACTAGAAAAAATACTTATTCAACCTTCATAATAATTTAGCTGGATATACATCCATCCTTCCATCATATTTCCAATGGCTGATAATGCTAGTAGAAGTCAAATGTAAAGTGCATTTAAAATGTGATGTTTGCTCATGTGTATATAGATGTTTTAGAGTTTCTTTTTGTAAAAATGTTGAAACCAGTCTTTTCTAGCTCAAGGCAGCACTCATAAGCAGACCAGAAGCACGTGTTGGGCTATTTACCCACGTTTTCTCAGGAACCACCAGGCCCTATCAATGCTTCCACTGCTGCATGCATGGCCCTTCTTGGCACAGCAGGAGATCAAATTCTGAGGTGAGAGATTGGCTGTGTATTGACCCTTGGATTGAATCGCTATTCGGTCAGCTGCTACACCTGTTTCAAATGAAACACTGATTAATATAGCACATCACATGGCATTTCTAATAATTTAAATAGTTTTTTATCTGAACCCTAAACAAGGTTCAAAATTTTAACTTAATTTAAAATTAAGGACCAATGGCATCAGTATGTCAAATTATTCCAGTCAATTGAACTGTGTTCACAGTATTGATCCCATATTGATATTTCTCCATTAAGTCACTGACTTGAAGGGCTTTTCTAGTCCCATATTCCTTTATCATGTACATGCCCCTAAACTATTTCTCCCTGAAGAACACTCAAGTAACAGATTGTCTTTAGAGAAAGAGCTGTATTTATCTGCATTGCCTAACTCATGCATCTGGAACAGCATCTCTCATGTAGTTACAGATAAATATACATTTTAAGTGAATGTAAGTTACCTAGGAATATGAAGAAAACTGATCATATAAATTGTAAATATAAATTCATCCATAGTAATGTGACATAATGCAATGAAATGAATCTCTAATTTTAAATGATACGTTATGTAACTACCTTGGAGACTGTACTTCAGCTAATTCAAAGTACTATAAACCTGCATTATTGCACATCTAAAATCTGCATAGCATACTTTTATGTTCATAATATGGTTGGAAATAGTTCTATTTTGATACGCATGAGGTTTACTTCTTATATTCTTATGCAAGCAACTAAGTAAGTATATTATTAGTTTTAGCTACAACTATCATTAACTATTATAATTGCTACAAACTAAAATTATGACAGTTTTAGCTATAAAATTTATCATAATTACTATTATTACAACTAAATTTATATTACTAATTATATATACACATTAACATTTCATGAGTTTTATTTTTAACTAATCCTTGGTATTAATATTGTTGAAAGTTCATTTCTTCCCCTAAGACATTTATTGAGTTCCTACTTGGTCCCAACCACTGCAGCTCTAGACTTGCAATGCTTAAGAACAGTGAGATGCATAGAACCAGCCTAGAGGTCCATCAACAGGTGAATGGATAGAGAAAATGTGCTATAGATACAAAATGAAATTTTTTCATCTTAAATGAAAAATCAGATTATGAAATTTGTAGAAAAATGGATGGACCCAGAAAATATTTTAAGCAAGGCACCTGGACTCAAAGACAAAATCACATGTTCACTCTCACGTGAGGCCTAGTTTATTATGTTGTATGTCTGCATATAAATAAGGTGAATGTGGGCACGGGCTATACAATTATAAAGGAGGCCGCAGGAGAAGAGAAACAGGTGCAGAAGAAAGAATGGGTGCACAGCGGGATGCATGTGACATGAAAGCGGATGGAGGTTATGGGGGGCAAAGGTATAAGTGGGGCAGAGGGATGGTGGGGAAGGGACAGGAAAAGCAACAAAAACAAACCTTGTTTTAAAATGCCACAGTAAAACCTATTAAATATTAGCGTCCGCTATTTTTAAAAGGTTAACATAAACTATTTGTTAATTAGCGAATAAAAAGGAGGCGTAGTTCTGTCCTCTTGGATAAGAGAGCAGGAAATGAATCAGCAGGTAGCAGAAATCTATACATACCACCAATTTCATCATTCTTCCATGATAAACTAAAATAAACAAGGAGACCAAGAAAAATTAGCCCGACAGCCATTTCAGTAAGAAATTTTAGGTGTTAGATATTTAAAGTAGTCTCATTGTAGTGTCTAATCTCAGGGTTATCCAGGAAATTATTTTATTCACTTCCTATTAAAGTCAGAAAGCTCACAACCTTCCTTGTATCCATTCTCTTTCCAGCGGGAGGTAGTTTTTCTCAACAGAACTATATCAGAATGTCACAAGGTGTTAATCTTGAAGTTTTTCTACAATAAGTCATTTAAAAATAATTCCTATACATATGTATCTGTATAAGGTTTCTGCATAACTGCAGCATATGCATAGTTCTGTTGTATAAATGTTGGCATGTTCTGATGTGCTAACTGTACAAATTTCCACTTCCTGCTCACTCCCACTGTTTGCTGGGATATCCTTCATAGGAGCAAACAGCACCATTCCTTCACCTCTGATACTCTCAATAGGATAAATCCATATTTCCTAAAGGAAAATAGAGATTCTTTGATATACTGACATTCATTTCTATGAATGAGGATCAAATATTAGTTTCTAAAATGTTGCTATAACATTTCATTCTGAAAATACTTTTACAGTAAAGAGAGACAAGTGGGCGTGAGTTGGAAGCCTTAGACTCAGAATCATTGAAGACGCTTCCTGTCTTGTGAGTCACCTCACTTCCTTGGACTGCCTTCATAAGATGGCAGGATTGCCAGATGCTTTCCTGAGCCTCTCTGTGAGACTGTGCTCTGGGGACACCAACGACCAAGCTCTCTAGCACAGTGCTAACAAGCTTCTCAGTTTCTCATCACTGACAGCATTCCTCAAATATACTCAGAAATAGTGCTCTACCTTAAATGTAAGGAATCCCTGTGATCTAGGATGTGTTTACCACATAAACACAAAATAGTGTATTTTATACTTGATTAAATCTATATTCACCCATCTGAAACAGGGCTCAAAAAAGGTTCCCATGTGGCTCCCTAACTCAGTAATGAGAAACATCAGACAGACAGAGACCATTTACATGGAGAAATAGGCAGCAATGTAGAATGAAGAGATGCAGGCATGCCTGAGGTGAGCTTGCCCAGTGCTCTGGTTCTGCCAGAAGCATTTCTAGAAGAGCCCGGTTGATACTAAGAAGCCAAAATACTTTAAGATCAGCATTTTGTACTCTGGAGCATGCCACCTTCAGCCACCTGCAGACCTACCTGCCTTGTGCTCCCACTTTAAAATATTTGCAGTGGTTTCAGTTACTCTAAAGCATTCCTTTAGAATCACTACAACTCTGGAGCATAGTTCTATGAAGATATTTGACAATAATCAGACATTATCATATTAGATTTAATTTAATTACTGAAATACAAAAATATATGTCTTTGGAAATAAAATCTGGCATCAGCCTGAGTAATTTATTAATTAGACATATGAGCATCTATAAAACTAGCTATAAGAAAGGTGTTTTTTATAATCTTGGATGAACATTAACATAAATTTGGAAACTAATCTTATTAAAAGATCAGTTATTTCACTTTAAAGCTAAAATCTATATATTTATTTTGTATGAAATGAGATTTAAAACATTTGGTCTACTATGTCTTAGTTCTAAAGTTTTATTTTCCTTCAAAATGGTTTAGTGATTGTATATCTGTAAATTTTTAATGGTTTGTTAATTTTTTGAGAACTTCATACAATGTATTTTGAACACATTTCTCCCTCCTTCAACTCCTACCACATCCACCCTCACCTTCTGAATCACCCAACTTCATGTTCATTTTATCCCATCGAGTCCAATATTCCTTGCCCAAATATTCTTAGGTGTAGACTTTGTCCTGGATTGCTGTCAACTGTGAGCTTTGAGAGCCCTGTGGTTATTTTGGACGGAAAAGAAGCAGTCTAGATCTAAACTAAGAGGACACCTTCTAGGTCTAAACCAATGGTTCTACTTCTAGCTCTGGAACAAGGAGACACCTTCTAGACCAAGACTAAGAGGACACCTTAGAAATATAGACCAAGAGATACTTTCTAGATCTAGACTGAAGAGATACTTTCTAGATCCAGACCAAGAGGATGCCTTCCTCAAGATGGTGATTTTTGTAGGACCTATGCCAATGAGTTTAGGTACCTATAGTTACAATACTTATAATTATATGTTTATCCTGTCATCTTGTTCAAGAATTTTGTTCGATAATAAGATTAAACCAATTAAATATGTCATTTCTGGGTCTATGAATAATTTCTTTCTCTCTCTTTTCTTTTTCTTTCTTTTTTTTGTTTCTTTCTTTGTATTGGGAATGGAACTTGGGACTTCATGTATCAACTCTATTACTGAGCCACATCTTGGCCCTTACAAGTTGATTTTAACTATGGTATCAAACATTGGTAGAAACAATGTTTGCTATAGGCTGAATTTTTGTGTCTTCCTTCACAAATCCATATGTTAAAATTCTACCCCTAAAGTGATGGTTTTAGGAGGTAATGCCTTTGGAAGGTGATGAGGTCAGGAGGGTGACAGTCTCATTAATGGGATTAATTCCTTTATAAAAGACATGGGAGATTCTCATTTCCCTTCCCAAGACACAGCAAGAAGATGGACACCTGCAAGTCAGGAAGTAGGTTCTTACTAACACCCAAATCTGCCAGCCCCTTGGTCTTAAACTTCCAGCCTATCTAGAACTGTTAGAAACTATTGTACTTTGAGTCACCCAGTCCACAGTGTCTTGTTGCAGCAGCCCATTCCTCTTGTCAGACTGTCAGAACCATGAAAACAAGTGCTTCACTCTAACCATCGATAACGGATAGCATTGTGAAAGCTGTCAGGCCAGCTGCCTGCACACTTTGATGGCTGCTTACATTAAGTGCCTTACCAGAACACCTTTGGTTACTATAGAGATAATCAACAAATAGAAGCTCTGGGATTTCTGGGCATGACTCCATCAAGAAAACTATAAGTGAAAGGTAATCAATTCTTTTCTCATTATCTGGTACTAACTCCCTAAATCAAACAAAACTTGACATCTTTACTTTGCTTCTTTAATTCATTATCTCTATAAATTCGGCATTAATAGCGAGCTTTCAAATGAAAATGTGTAGCCTTCAGGTTGCTTTCTTTGGGCAGAATATTTTAATTGACCATTTAATATTGTTTAAAATTTCTACTTTCAAAAACTTTGTAATTACTCTGTCGGGCAGTAGAGGCCATAGCAGGGAGTCAAGAGGAAATGGTTGAAATGGCTTTATTACTTGCGGTAGAAAATGCCCAGGATGCAGCACAGTTTTTTTGATCCAATGGTCCATGAGTCCATCCAGGCCATTTATAAGAAGCAATAAAAACCTCAGGAAGATCCATTTCTGGAGGTAAAGAAGCCTGCATGAAAAAGACAGATGTGTTAGATGTGCTCAAACAAGGCCCAGCAATCATCATAAATGTCCCTCATGAGGCCTTTACGATATTTATAATTTTTTTTAAAAAACTGTTTTTGTACATTCAAGTTTCTGAGGTACATATCGTAGGTAGGATTTTTATTTCACTTTGTGTTTAAAATTATAGGTATATGTGGAGAATCACAGCATGAAGGAAATGCTTTTTCCTGGTTACCACACAGGGCAAGAACATTCAACCAATGCTTCCGTCATCTTGAATCAGAGCTGGCTCATCCCATTTGTCCTCATAATGTTTACTTCTCAAGGCTCAGCAGTTAAAAGCATTGACTGTTCTTACAGAGGACCCAGGTTTGGGTCCTAGCACCCACATGGTCAATAACAACCATCAGTAACCCTAGTTCTAGGAAAGCTGATGCTCCTTTCAGGCCTCTTTGGACGTTGCATATATGAGACACATACATGCAGGAAAAACACTCATGCTTATAAAATAAAAATAATAAATACATAATTTAAAAGGTATGTTTACATTTTTCTTTTGGAAAATGCGTGTGACCTTCAGGTGAAGCTAATTTTGAAACAAAACATTTGGGCAACTACATAATAACATAGCTAGAGTCCTAAGGAAAACAATCAATTTTGTATCATTACTGAGAAATGAAACAAATGAATTGGTTCATATTTATAAAATCCTTAAAAATTAAAAGGGACTTTAAGAATGGCATAATGCCACTGCACAATACGATGTGCCTTAAAAGTCCATGTTAAATTCTTAACAGGCTCAATTCTTGATAGTATTTAACATCTCTAGGTGAAATAATCAGAGGAAATATTATTAACCCTTTATTATAAATGAAGCAATTGACTTTGAAAGCTAAAGGACCTTCTAAAGACTCAGTTAAATTAGTGCTACAATAGTTTAGAAGTTTTTGACAGCATGATCCATTTTTATCTTCTCTCTATGAAAAATACACGGATGCAGTGCCTTACGACAGAAGTTAATGCCTAGAAAGTTGAATTTTCACCTTTTTAAAAGTTTTATAATTTTGCCTTGAGCTAGTGAAGCTACTTATCTGACTTTTTTTGTTTGTTTTTTTGAGACAGGGTCTCCCTGTAGCCCCAGATCTGACAATAATTTTTAAAAAATTTTATGTGTATGAGTGTATTGCTTGCATGTGCGTAAGTGTATTCTTGGTGCAATGCCCACGGAAGTCAGAAGACTGTGTTTGATCACCTGAGACTGAAGTTTGAGTTACAGATGGTTGCTAGCTGCCATGTGTATGCTAGGAATTGAACCCTGGTCCTCTTTAAGGGTAATCAGTGCTCTTAATTGCTGAGCCATCTCTCCAGCCCTTAATGTGACATCTTATCAAAAATTACTTCTGAAAATTACATTATCATTTCAAAATCTAAAGCAAGTAAAATTTAGAATGTACCTGTCTCCTTATAAAAGCATACACCCCAAATAATTTATAAATTGGAGGAATAATGAGAACAGTCACTTCTGACTTAGACAAACTATTACCATTCAACAAAAGAGCTCTACCGTCTTGAGTCCAGTCCTAAAAGCATCGCTGCTTAGATGACGGAAGCAACAGTAAAGAACATGAAGCTGATCACTGCACAGGGCCTAGATAACAAAGGGCAGTGTCACAGAGCCAGGGACGTGGAATGCCCTCGCTGCTAGACAGACCACATCTCAGACCCTCCAAGCAGAGCAGCATAGGTGTAAGGCTCTCGAAAGATCGCCAAAGGGCACAGACAGTCTTCAAAATGTCATTCTAAATGGAACAAAGAAACACATCCTGCACGTCACCTGTAGACTCCAACTTCACTATTATTTTCTTATCATTGTGCACTTAAGCACCTATACTAAGCTGCATCAACTTTCAAAATACAGATGTCTCAATGTCAGTTGTTATTTTACCATTTAAGAATTCTAGTGTAATAGCATAGTGAGGCTATTTTCTTCTGATCTGTTGAAGCAATACAGGTCTACTATGTGAACACATTTCAGCAGGGTTGTTACATAGGATGTGGCTTTCACATTAAAAAGACTGTCAGACTTTCTGAACATGGAGGCAGACTGATAACAATAATGATGGGATGTGTGTGAGTGTGAAAATCAGATATATTTTATTCCTTACGATGTAATTTCCCCATAACCATTTTAAACTGTTGAAACACCATACATATTTGTTGTTTTTATGATGTTTTTATTTAGAAACAAAATGATTAGATAACCATTCTCAGTAAAAAACTCAATAG